TGTACCACTCTTAATTCCACTTGGTACCAATCAAACTCAACTTAAAAGCACTCAACACTGATAGTGATTGTCAAACTTTCTTTTTGGTCTTTTTGGTTCTTTCCATTCATCCAAGAAGAGTGAGAAGACCCTTTGATGCTATACATCCACATCTCATCTGAAGTGATGCAACATGTTTAATAGGGATTCATAAAAAGGGGAGTGTGCACTAAAACTGTTAGAGCCTAAAACTACGCCTGTGGGCATGTCTTCTGCCGCATTTGTATTAAAAATGTACGCTTATAGACTATCTTCACTACATTTACAATTAATACTGGATGATTAGCAGCCAACCCTGTTCTTTTCAAGTGTAAGATCTAGGATTGAAAAGTGCACATTTAAGAAGAAAGTTATGTCAGCGAGTGTGGAGTTTCGATTAATAAGGCGGCATGTCTGACAGATCGCTTTTAACATAAATCACTTCCTGTAAGCGTGTCAAATATCCCGTGTGTGATGAGAAGTGTGGAGTGCAGACATGTTTGAGACTCCCTCAGACAGACAGGCCAGAGGAGCATGCTTTCTCATGTCTGTCTCTTCCAACGACATGAACAAAGTGAATTTAGAAGCTGACACTTCACAGATGCTTCTCTGACATCAGTGACAGCAGCAGAATGTCCACATATGTATCAAGTTACATTCAGTAAAGTCATATGTTGTGTAATGTAAAATGTTTGTTTCTAAAGTGTTTCACCTCGTGTCCTTTTTGAGTTATGATAAGTTTAGACTGCAAATAGAATGCATAAACTATGTAGATGATATCTGTTCAAATCTATGAAAAGGTGAGAAAATGAATGTTCTAAATTACCTGTCATTGCATCTGGCCCGAGGCTTAGGCCCAAAGTTGCTGACATATATAGACTCCAGCTGCACACTACACGCCCTATGACAGCAAGAACCTGCCAGTTTGCCTCGTTTTACTTAAAGCCTTTGCTTGTAATGTGAGTTACATACATATTTGAGAAAGTGGTAACAAGTATATAACAACTGTTCTTGATCCAGCCACAAGGGGTCATATGCATGTCAACATTTTGTATGACACAAGTTCTGTTCTGTACTTTTTACATTGCTTCCCTGAGCTGAACCTGGAAGAAGACTGATCCTGCTTACTCAATATATAACCATTATTTTACCTTTACCTTCTACTAATAGCAGTGTCTCATAAAAATCCAGCTTAAAACATTTCACAATTTCTCCTGGACTGTTGCACCTCCGATTTCAGTCAGGCCTCCTTCCTGTCTTTGATTTACAGCTCTGCAGGTTCTCTCTGGTCCCCTCAAGTGTTTACTCACCACAGGCATTAAACATAACTGTCAATTAGAAGTGGAAGTCCGGACTGGTAATGGCCTTGTTTAAAGCGTTGTGTGGACTAGCATTAGCGTCGTCCAGTCTCCCTGTGTGTAAACGACGTGGACGGGTGTCATGGCCGCCCTTGATCATAGCGAGCAGTGAACATTTGGCCTGACACCTTTACGAGAGGACAGGACCCCGCGCGCACGTACAAATCCCACCTCCACTTTGATGTGCTTTATCGAACACACCTGTGGCTGATTTGTACGCCACTCCGTACCCCCCCTCACGCCGTACCCCCCCATGCCGTACCCCCGCTCACTCCCCATCCATAATTAGTGCTACTTATGTTTTACCCTGAGCTCAGCAGTTATTTACAACACTGACATAATGACTGTGGTAGACTAGGAGAGGCTTTGGTTAAAACTGGCATTTGCTGCTAATACAAGAACCTAAGTTGTAATGCACATCAAAACAGCAAATATTTTTTAAGATTTTTAGAATGTTAGTTGACTCAAAACATGGAAAAATAATTTGTGGTGTTCATATTATTGAGAGCTGATCATTGAACAGACTTGTAAACAGGTACATCTGTTGTGAGTAGGGATGTACCGATATCCAAATCTCTTGGCATGATATTATCATGATATGCATCTCACGGTATGATATTTATTGCAATATTTTGGAGAGGTTGATATAATTGTAGATAGGAACTTTTATGCTTTTAAAATACCTTCACAAGATTTTGGTGTGAATTATTTCCCAAGAATTCAAGTAAAAAACCTGTTTCTTCATGTTGTCTGCACTGAAATGAATCATGGAATATGCAGTTCTCTATGTTTATAAGCTGTTGCTACTATAAAACAATGATTTTAAGCAAAGGAACTTGTAATTCAATATATTGCAACAGCCCACGATCCTATTGCGAGACTTTTGATGATACAATATCATGACATTTCGGTTATTGTCACATCCTTAGTTGTGAGTAACTGCATTTCTTCCTGATTGTGAAAACATGTGCAGATTTTCTCAAGGAAAATTATGCAACATGTAATGTGGCAAAGATAGAATCCAGTGGACTTTGTCTTCCAAACATAGCAGTTCAAATCATTGTATAACTGCCACGTGTCACCAGATGTTTTAATGATCACACAAAAGGATCCAATTGTTGTGTGATCTGTTTATTCTACTGGTCATGTAAATATATTTTGGTTTTTCACTAATCATCTAATGCCCATATTTGTCAAAAGCCTATAAGCAACTGCCAACCTCTTACTTTGCCAACAACAATTATGATATGAGAAGTGTAAATGATGAGTGTCTGTGGAGGTTCTTCATATCAAAATAAAACAATAAAAAAAGAAACTAAAATAATGAATGGATACAAGGCATTACTGTTATGTAGACCTTGTGAATGTCCACAGAGCTACACCTAGTCGAGTACAGTGTGTTTATTACAGTGTCTATTATCACATTAGCCTGCTGCACCTCGTCTCACTGTCTGTATGCATAATTTACTAATTCCCACTTAGTATCACTGTGAATTATCTCTTTCTAAACACAACGCCGCCTCTTTAGGGATAATCAGCGTTCACTTCCTGGTGGAGAGGCTCACAGGTGTGCAGCACAGATTAATGTCGGAGGCATTTTGGAGGAGAAAGGGTTGATGGGAAGATAAAGGACACAAAAGAGCTCATGAATTATCTGCATATACGAGCTGCTTATTTGATCAGTGATAAGGCGCAATGAGTCCACTTGCTCTCTCTATATTCGGCACTCACAGCAAGTCTAAGCCCTGTGATAGCATCGAGTGAAAGCCAATGGCAACTAGTCCCTATAGAAGTCTCCATATAGGTACAAAAGATTTTAAAGAATTATATGAATGCAGAAATGTGTTTGTCAAATATCAGAACTTGGAACACCAATCTCAATCTATCTGGAGCAGAGGTATCCAAGTTTTTCTTCAAGCCCCCTGGTTGAGAGTTGCCAGGCACACCAGTCTAAAACAGTGACTGCCCCAAATGCATTATGTGGTAAATAATTAGTCATGACAGCCATTTATTTCAGCCATCTATAACTTATCTTAAATTGTGCACAGAATTATTTGCCAAACTCTCAGTGCCTTGTCAACATTTTCCCAGTCTGTAACAAAGCTGCTTGACTCAATCACAAAGTGAAAAACCTGTTCTTCAAAAGGTACACTAAAACCCCACTGCACAGTTGGGACTAATTGTGGCATAAATTTGCAATAGCTTCTAATAACAGCCTTCCCAGCATGACTTCGGCATGGGCCCCCATTTTCACCTGCCGCTGCTCTCAATCAAATAGTGGAAGTGTTCAAAGGCAACCCAGCCACAGAAACAATAACTCTTTTTATTGAGAACAAATGTTGACGTTTGGACGGCGGAGCGGCCCCAGAGAGAGAAGAAGAGGTGAAGAGTGGCGGGATCCCTGTGTGCTTTTGGAAAGTGCCTCTGGTGCTATTTGACAACTGTGCTGAGTCCTCCAGGGAGCCCACCTGAGAATAAAGCGTGCCTTTTAATACATCAGCTCCTAATGAAAGCATTTGGATGGGAGACAGATCACAAGACAAATCAGGCCAGAGGGTAGACTTGTGTTTAGACTGTAGGACTAAATAAATATAGACTAAAATGATCTGATCGTTTAAGGCAATTCTGATCAAAAGAAGAAAGTCAAGAGCCTATCTGACTGTATTTCTATAGTATTTCTTTAGTTTTAATCTCAATAAAGAAACAAATTACACCCCCAGTTGTTAATTAATTAATGCACACATTTTATTAATAAAACATAAACAGTAATACTGCTTGACTTTTTGCAAATAAATCCCAGTGTAGAACTGCTTAAACTGTCTACAACAACTTTCACCAAGGCACTTATGTAACCACGTGAGTAATCTGTAACCTACAATTTTACAGAGGCAAGCGCACGTCGAAAGCGTTATGGTGGGCTGTACCATAGGGAATTCCTGGTATCTACCAAATATTACTTCCTTCCACTAGTGAGAGGAGGAGCAGAGAAAAGAGAGGAAACGGCGAGGTGAAAGGGTGTCCTGGGAGATTTGGTTCAAGCTCAGATTCAGGTGGAAAATAGCGCATTAGGTTTTATTTTGGCCAGAAGGGATAGAAAAAAAGTGGTAAAGGCTATTCAATTTTCTCAATAATAATAATAATAATAATGGGTTAATTAAGCACGTGCGTAAAGGCCGCCAGGATAAAAAAAATAGAGGAAAACCTGTCCGATTAGGGCCCATCACACAGCCCATTGGAGCTGGCAGATGCTTAGATAGACTTTTATGGATTGTTCAATGGCGTGCTATAATGAAGCAGGCAGCGCTCTGTGACCCATGCTGAAGCGGCCTGAGAGGCTCCAGGGACGGCCCCGCTGGGAGACCATAATGCCCATAATGCCCTGCGCGTCCCACGGCTGTATTAATCATACTGAAAAATAAATGTGGGTTAGGGAACGGGTTGCTAAAGGCTTGGAAAAAATGAAATAAGTGCGTCGTTTATTCCAATCAAGGTCACGATAATGAACCATATAAAAGAAAACGATGCTCCATTTACTGAGAATGGATTGTGTGATGTGTGAAAAGTCTCGCTGCTGAAAAGTGCTTTTCCCATCTGCGCCTGACACACTGAAACCATAAACCCTGATATAAATAATAGTGCATAAAGAAATGGCCAAGCTTCGAAAAATAGTTGAGAAAACAGTTTTAATATTCTCCTTTATGTAGGTACCGCGCCAGGGTTTGCACTGACGTTCTCATTATTTACATTCAAAGATATAAATTAGTAAAAGTCCTGATAACAACAAGATTGTGAAGCTTTCAATTTCCAAATGCTTCTCAAATAAAAAACGTCCATAATATATATGTATATATATTTACAAACGCAGTCATTTCCCAATGTTTGCAATACAACTTGCATAAATTATAGGCTTATCGCCACAATCATTTATAAAAATAAATATCAAATGTAGGCTTTTCCACTTTGAAGTGACGTCTTCTTGTTAACTTGTTAACTTCAATCCAGTCCTTCGTTTAATCATCCAAAGCAAACTTTACAAATTCCAGAGAAAAGGGCCAAATAAGGTTTTGCACGCGTTTAAATAGATAAAATAATATATCGTGGCAAAAAGACAAACTAAATGAACCTGAGTATTAACATATAAATCACATATAATGGGAGCATTTTTTCAAACTAAATTACAGATCCATGATACGTCATGAAATTTCCATATAACTTTTTTTTTTCCAGCGAGTCCAAAGTTTTGAGGGTTTGTGGCCTGTGTGTGTGGTGCAAAACCTCTAGCAGCTTTCATGGAAACTGGTGGCACTGAATACGAGCTGGAGCGGTAAAGGTTAAGAGAGCGTAAAACATTAGGCTAAAAGGTGATGTCTCTTCAACCTTTTATTGTCAAAGCAATTGTGACACCTGTCTGTATCGGATGCTATGATCGTACTACCTGTCAAAAACAAACAAAAAGAAAATAATCAGTACTGTAAGTGCTTGGAAAATAATCCTCGTCATGACTGGAGCCAACACGTGCGTAAAACTGGTTTTGCGCTGAGTTTGGATATGCAGAATACGTGGGGACCAAACCGACATTTTTCTTTGCATATGGCTGACCCTAAGTATTTAAATGATCATAGACAAAAAGATAAGGTTGAACTCGAGAGGCTCTTCCACTCACCACAAGAGAACATTAAGTTTAGAATTCCTGCTCAAAGCTATGGCAACTATTCCCTGCTCATTGGGTTTACCGGCAGCCACCGTGCATGTGCACGCGCATATGCAAGTGCGCGTGCGTTAAGCTGATTAAAGACCTGACCTACCCTGGTCGGTGTTACATTGGTGTGAAATGTTTTCTGTTGTTCGTAAAATGCTCCTTTTGTGACAAATGATAAAAATCTACAAAGAATGAATCTACAATTAACACATCACTCAAAAATAATTAGTGCATTCTGTTGATCGTTTAGAAGAGCTACTTCTTATTTGCAACAAAACTGTATTTATTTCAAGGAAAGACAATGTGTGTGTGACTTAATAAGGCAAATTACGCACGAACGAACGTTATATTAGCAGCGGTAAAACAAAACAGTTTCACGCTCACAATACATTTACTTTCCTCGTTTTAAATACAATTGCAAATGTTCACCACGACTTTAAACGCGTTTTAAGCTATCACGCTGTCCCCAAGTTTCTCATCTTACGTACCTTTCTTTGCTTCTAAATTTGCCGATCTGAAATGCTGATGTGGCTGCTGTTCAGCTTTATTGTTATTTTTAGCGACAGGGGAGTCGGGCCTTAGTTTACCCTCTGCGTGCTGATTGTGAGGATGCTGCGCTGAGCTGAGAGCTTCGCTCGCGCTAGAAGTGGTGGATGAAGAAGCAGCAGCGGCAGCGGCTGCGGCTGCTGCGGCTAGACTCACTCCAGAGGAGTTATTGTAGCGCAGGATCCCCTGGCCCTGCAGCGGACTGAAGTTGCCATAGTTTGTATAATTGCTATAAAAGGGCGATGTGTAATAAATAGGCCTTCCAATGATGGAGGGGGGCGGGTAGAGTGAGGGTGGGCTGGCAGCAGAGGCGGGGGCTGTGAGGAGGCCCCACTGGAGGAGGGGCAGTTTGCTGGCTGCTGCTGTTTTTGGTCCGAGGTAGCAATCTCTGCGAGTGACCACAGCTTAGGTTTGACCGAGGGGTTCTGAGACGGGGCTCTGCTTTCTAGAACTTTGTTGCCCACCATGAGGCTGCGCGCCAGGTCCTCGCGCTGCAGGTGATGGTGGAGGTGATGGAGGTGGTGGTGTGGGTTGACAATGGGGGCTTCTACCCCGGTTAGCGGTGACGATGTTACGGGCTTTGGAGAAATATGGCCTCGTGCTTCGAGGTGGCGTTCCACTGCGTCGTCTCCATCCTCATCACCGGTGCGCTCCCCCGCGCGACAATTCACCTTCTCCACATCTGACTCCGCGGAACACGAGTGGTCTGTCAGAGTGTCCACGTGTAAACTTATTCCTATTGGGAAAAAAAAGAAAAAAAGAAAATGAATTAACACTAACAATAAATAAATAAATAAATAAACAAATAAACAAACAAACAAATAAATAAATAAATAAATAAATATCAAATTATTTATAGGTCTATAACGCTGTAAAATGAATAGGAATACCTATGCTTGTCTTAAAAAATATAAGTGTGTTATTAAATACCTAACAATTGCCAACGTTCAACTGTGTGCTAAATGTAGCATATTCTAACTTTTTTATGAACTTCACGAGTGTATTTAAAATTACGTCTTTTAAATAAATAAAGTCGAGCATTTATTGTGCATAAAATGATCCATATTTCCTGTTGACTAACTCCGTTAGGTTATTGCAGCATTAGTGGGGCTGAGCAGTAAATAAAAAGCACACGTGCCCCTCCTGCCTCCCCTCACATCCTGCCCAGAATTGTTAAACGGATCATTGGCTTGTGTACCCCACCTTCATCCTCGGCTGAAGCCTCGCTGTTATCCAGGGTTTTCTCGGACCGCTCTATTTCCTTCCTCTCCCCGTCGCCGTCGTCTTCGTCCTCGTCCTCGCTCTTGTTCCTGGGGGCCCACGTCATCTTGTTCTCCTTCTTGAGTCTCCTCCTGGCGTTGGCGAACCACGTGGACACCTGGGTCAGGGTCATTTTGGTGATGATGGCCAGCATGATCTTCTCTCCTTTAGTGGGATAGGGGTTCTTCCTGTGCTCCTGCAGCCAGGCTTTCAGGGTGGCCGTGGCATCCCTCGTGGCGTTCTTGCGGTAAGCCGGGTCGTTGAGCTGGTACGGATATCCGGGACTGCCATATGGGTGGTAGCTGAGCGCTCCAGCCATGCCCGTTGTGTGTGGGTCATAGGGAGAGCTCTGGAAAGAAAATTACCATGTGATTCTTAAGTCATAAAACATGCCGCTAATAATTAATTAGCCTACAGTAGGCCTATAATAAGACAAAATCAACTTTATTCAAATAGCATGTTATAGTCTAGAGTCAGTAAAATTCATAAACGTTTATATTATATTTTGGGTATTAATCGTGTCTTTTTATTAAAAGTAATGCATATTTTCTATACTACAAAGTTACAGAAAATGTATTGTCTGACCACTGACCATAAAACAATGCGTGTTAATGTGGGAGCAGGCCACACAGTGCCACACACTAATTGTTAACTAATGGCTAAGATCGTTATCGGATTAGCTAGTTAAAAAAATCTCCCGCCAATAAAGCTCAAAATACCATTTCAAATCATCTAATCCCTAATTAATTATTTGCTTCTCAAGTTGACGCACTTTTTGCCGCGTCACGGTAGTGTCATTATGTGAACACATCTTCCATTAATAGCATTACAAATCCCATTACAAATCATATTGATGTGCGACTTCCAAAATATCTCTCAGAATTTGGTTTAACACGCGTAAAGCTATCCACTATTATCCACTTCACCGTAAGGCAATTATTGTCCGCTTTGAAGCCCTTATTGTTTTAAACTTGAGAGCTGCTTCAAATTTCATCGAAGTCACAGGGTCAACAATCTAGTCATGGAGACTAAAGGCAATAAGGCCTTAGATAAACGTCCCGAGTGCTACAATATAAAAATAAGAATATCGCCCTTCAAAATAATACTTAAATGTATTTATAATATAGGAGAAAATAAGTTATTTTTACCACATACGACGGGAATCCTGCGGTGGGGTCCGTAGAATATGATAGTGGGCTGGAGAAGCCCGTGCCTGGCGAAGCGGAGAAAGCAGCCGATCCTGGGTAAGGGCTGAATGCCGAGCCGGAGGACGACCTCGCCAACTCTTCATTCTTCATTCCGCGGAGCAGGCAAAGACGAGGGCCCGTAAGTTGGACACGAATACAGCGCCAGGGAGCCCGGAGGCTGGTATAGATAAGCCTGAGGATAGGACATTGATGGGATATAAACAGATCGCCGATTCCCCCCAAAACAAGCGGAGCAAAAGCGCGGAGAAAGCCAAAGTAACAATCAAGTTAATAATGAGCCGCTAAAGCAGCCATCAAACAATGAATATAAAAAGTCCTCCTCCCGCTGCCCCTTGACTAAAAAGCCCTTGAAAGGTGTGTTAAAAGTGCCCACATAGAGGCAATGTGGCATGCGTCTTGATCCCCTAGCGTCCGATGTTTTTAGTACGCAGCGCTGTGAAGTGAGGAGTTAGGAGGGAAAGAGCCAGTGGAGTTTCAGACGCACGGAGCGCAGGGGGAAACTGGAGCTGTCACTCCGGCTCATCTGAATATCCATCCCCGCCCCTTTTCTCTGCCTCATACACACTGAATTTCTTGCTCACAAGCAGCGACACCACACAGCCAAAAGTACAGCGACTGGAAATACGATCCGTTTCCTTTGGTATTGTCAATTCTTTCTCTCCGCCGTCACCAAACTGGATTAGATGCAATGATTTTGACATTACTTCTCTTATGGGGACCATGAATTTGATAAAGTCGCTATAAGCATTATTTTAAAGTTGTGCGCTTCGGTGCGTTTTAACCCTTACTTTGTTTGCGCAGATGGCTTTTTTAGGAGTGTGTATGTGTGTGTAGCGCTATAGGAGTGTATGAATCAGAGAAAGCAAGTGTATAATGTCCAGGTCTCGACTTACACGCGCTTATGTGGCCAATGCCGCTATCAAACGAGGACACATCCATGCGCACCAAGGGCAGTGCGCGCTCTGGCCTGTGGGAGGCGTACACGGGTTTCCACTATTATTTTGTACCACGAATAACTTTTTGAGGTTTGTTGTAGGTAAGTGAGTATGATATGATGTAGCCTACTGTTTGTTTTTGTTTATAATTGATACGCAAACGCATACATTTATCCAGAGAAGTCGAGTTTAATTATTATTATTTATAATTTTGGATTTGAGGTCCACACGTTCAGGCCTCTTGCCCTTCTCTCCAGTGACTGCAGACATTATGACCTCTGTTGGACACAGCAGTTACAGCAGAGCGCATGGTGAAACGTAAGCCCTAACAGCGGTTTGGGAGCGGATGGACAGCCAAGGTGCCAAACGAAGAGCGGTAGTGGCCGAGTGTCCCTCATTAGTATTCATACGACTCAATGTATGCATCCATCAGGTGCTTGTTCCGTCACCGTGGTGTGGTCTGCCTCTCTTGTAAACACCAGTGCTAAAGAGTTGCAGCTTGTTAACGGCCCGGGCTAATTTAGTTCATAATAAATCCATATATTACAGTTCACAGAAAGGATAGCCATAACTAATCCTCACGTAGTGTCATTTTGTTAATTAAAACACCACATCCCATGGTGCTCTGTATTCAAATCCGCCCATAATGAGTGCAGTTATGAGGGCGATATTTCACCTTAGGCTACTTTAGGAGGTGACATGACACTGTTACAACTTGCACATTACTTTGCCATAGCTCATTCGGATATGACAATGTATCCAGGAGTGTTGGGAGGGAATAAATACAGCCTACTTGAACATGAAAAAACTGCAAAAGTGCTTTTTATTATTTGTAATTGTTTTTATTGTGATCATTTTCGCAAATAAAGGTCTTTGTCTGTTCTACTAGCCCAAATAAAGTAAAACCCATCTTTTAATTCATTAGTATTTTCATCAAGTTTACATCATCAAAAAGATCTAGTCCTGCCATAAAAGAGTAGATTGTTGCTGCTTAGAATGATTTGCGATATACTCGGCTGACCGGACATACATTGAGGCCCACACCAGGGGGCACTGTCTCCACTGCTCACGGGCCGCACACTGGGCGAAAGTGTGCTGAATTTAGTATTAGTTGTCGGTTGCATTTCCAGGTCAGTTTAAAACAGGTCTGAACTATTCTGGTCCTCGCTTAATGGGTATACAGGACATGGAGAGGAGAGGCTGGGTAAATATAAAAAGGAGAAAAAATAGATACTCTCTACAACTGCAAAGTTTTGAGGGATTAAATGTTGAAATTAAAACGCATTTTAATTGAAACAGCCTAAACAGTGAAAGTGAAAAATTAGTAAAGTGAATTTCTCATTTAAACATTTTATTTTTGTACTCCGAAGCATATAAAAGAGTAAAAGTAGTGAGAGACAGGGCTTTCTCCATGGGCTTGGATACACACAAACAGTGGGAAATCGATTTTTGCTTGAATACATTTAATATTATATATATATATATATATATATATATATATATATATATATATATATATATATATATATATATAGTGTGTGTGTGTGTGTGTGATATGTATATATGTATATTTGTTTACTTTTATTTACTATTCATGATGATTATATCTATTCATATTTCTTTTTACTTATTTCAGCACTTAACAGTTAGAAACAACAAAAAGCAGACACTACAAAACTTTTCAATTACAATTTGCTAGTTCATTTAAATAAATATATCTGGCCTTATTTTAACTCTACATCTCTAAGTGCCAGTGAGGAGAGCAGGCTAAACAGGGAGACGCAGGGGGCCAGGCGGGCTCAGGCGTCAGGCCGTCATCTCTCTCGCGCCTGGCATCTGCCCATTGCTGCCAACCTTCTTCTAATCAGCAGCCATCCATGTGCTTGGCAATGGAGGGGGTTCTGCATCAGCCCCTTGCCCCAAGTGAAAAACCCTGAGCCCTATCACTTTGTAAACAGGTTCCTTCAGGGCACCTCCAGTGAGGACGCCTCTGATGTGCTCAAGTACAGAACATTGGTGACTGCAGTGCCTTGGATCCTTCTCGCTGCAAGGACTCTTGTTGATGCTGCTGTTGTTCTTGTAGTTAGTTTTCAGCTTAAATCACAAGGCCACATTCCCTTTAAGTTTGATTTGTCGAACATGCTGCAGACTGACATGGATGTTGGGGAAACACTTTTTGTCTTTTTTTTTCTGTAAAATATTGTGTTCTAACAGTTTACAGCACAATGAATTTGTTCTGCAGTCTCTCTAAGACTTTGATACATTTAGATTTTCTGACTAAAAACAAAAAAATACAAAAGAAACTATATCTAGGTGACAGTGACATGGGTAGGCTTGTAGGCTGTAAGGGAGCAAAATACCAGATTTTGTGAAGATGGGAAAAAAAAAAGAACGCACTAATTATAGAAATTATGAAGCATGGATTTCAAACACACACAAACACCCAGACAGGCTGATTGACGAACCAAACGGTCTCTGAAAATCAAAGACAGAAAATAAAAGAGGACACAAAGGGGAAACAATTTGAGAGCGCCTGAGTCTCTCCTGTGGCTCTCCAGCCAAGGGTCGGCCAGATAGGGTTGCCTAGAAAGAGTGTGCTGACAGCCAGTGTCACTGGGCTTTGTAATCATTGTGCTGGACCTGATAGGGTTACTAGTGGCTAATCCAGGCTGACCTTGGTTAGGTGCCCTGAATGAGGATGGCTTTGTACAGTGGGGACAAGCTACCAGTATGACGGTGATGCTGACATATAATGTCTGCGTGGGGACTTGCCACCACAGCTCTTTTGTTGTGCTATCAAGTTGCGACTCTCAGCCACACACACAAAATGTTTTCTCTCTCTCTTTCAGGAGATGGAAGAAAGCAGGCATCTAAATCACCAGTGGGGAGCGGACCAGCTTGTATCTCCAGGTTCAAGAGGTCACACTGCTGTTGTTAGTGTTAGAATGTCTTCAAAACAAATCCTATACTGATGGAATTCTGTGTATTGGTCTCTTAGTGGCCTAACGGTGAGCCTACTGTTTAATAAAAATAATAAATACAGTAATAATGACAAGATACTCAAGATAAATATTTAAGTATTTACACCAAACATATTGTTTTATGTGATATGATAAAGCAAGTAGTAATTTGAATAAAATCACTTAGTAACTAATAACTAAACATTTACATGTAATCCTGGATGTAGATTTTAAATAAATAATGTGATAATACTATATTGTATAGTTAGTATAGTTTGGCACAGAAATGCCACACTCACTCAATTCAGCTGTTTTAAAACATGCACCCACTATATGGACAACAAAGACACACACACTCACAGCTCGAGGCTCCACCGGTGTGAAGGCAATAGAGAGAAGGCATCTTGCCTTTGTTGCTGCCAGGGAGAACTGTAAACGGGAATGGGATTCCCATCCCCTGGAGCCTCCTGCTAATCCACAACAGGCCCACTGCTGGATTACTGGGGACATCAGCTGACATGCCAGCCAGCACACTGATAAGCATGTGCATAGGCACCCAGTGTAAAGTGTCTCCACACATGCTAATGTCTGCTCTATGTACATACTGTATGCCAGCTATGCAATATGTTCACACGCAAGCACATCAGTCAAATGGCATCACTGCAGGAAGCATTCACACACAGTGGGATCTGCAAATCACACACATAATCAAGACCTGGAACCATTGCATGGATTTGAGACTCTGGCAGGACAATATAGACCTCATATTTGTGCAGATAGAATTTGGCAGAGAGCCCTGCTGTCCTTCATTGTCCCTGCTGCTGGAACTAATGTATGGAAGTTACTATGGGCTTCCTATTTCTACACAATGACATCTTCATCTACAAGTCCAATTAGATTAGCTCTTACAATTAAAGTCTCCTCACCTTTTTATTTTTGTTTGTTCTTTTTATACTTAAAATTATGTTTTGTGCTAAGTGACATAAATTGACTGAGTAAACAGGACAACACAAATGCAGTGTAAATCATCCAAAGATGCGAAAGGCGCTCCTCGACAGCCCAATCAGCAGCAGCAGCACATTGAAATGCACTCAGGTAAATTCAGTCTGTGATTAGGTCAGGCGTGCGGGCTGTATTTGTGGTAAACAGTGTTCCGCTCTGGGGGCTAAATGTTTGTGTCAGTAAAGAATAATTACACTCCTCCACGCTGTATCTGTAGTGTTAATCTTTGTCGGCGGCGGCCACTTTATTCTCTGGTTTGTTTAATAGCTCACTAGGAGCTTTATTGTTTCAAAGTGCTCGATAGCAAACCTGTAAATTCTGTGTTGAACATTTGCCCCTGTGGCGTTGCGGTTCAATGCCGGCGAATGTTGAAATAAAGCAAGCAGCCATTGATCTGCAATCAAAGATCCCAGA